ATGTAGATATCTATATATATAGTAGGTGTATAAATAATCATACATCAAATGAGCAATCACACCAGATAATCATGGACTATATTCCAATATGATCAGGCCTGAGCCAGTAGGCCTAATCACTCACATTAAAATCTATGTGTGTAGTGGTGTATCTCCATGCCCTATGATCGTCTATCTCGTCCCCCGTGGTTTCGTCAGCATCTCCATGCATCGCGATCGTTCATCTCGGTCTCATGGGTTCAACTATCTATTCCACGCTCCCGCTGCACCTCCTCGTATAATTACAACTTAATCACAGGCATGTAGGCCCAACACTAAATGAGAAATAAATTAGAGGCTCGTATGCCCCGATAATAATAATCACAAGTACACACATCATACGATACATGATCATCCGTCCACACATCATACATCACATATAAATATTATTACGTAGGACTACTAGATAATAATAATAATAATAATAATAATAACAATAATAATAATAATAATAATTATTATTATTAAATTATTTAATTAATTAATATTTTTTGAAATTAGGGATATGTAGGAAATTTTTTGAATTATGAGGGGTATCTTTATAATTTGGACAAAGGATGAATCTTGAAAATTTTCAAATTTCAAAGGGAAAAACTATTGCCAAAAACCCTATTGCTCCTTATCCCAGCTGCTTACTGCGACCACCGCCACCCTTGCCGATGGTGGCCCTCTATAGCGTGGGGCGGGGATTCCGCCCCTGTAGGTGAGTGCCCCCATAGGCAACAAGCATCGTTGCCCCGCGGTGCCTCTACCCGCGGGTGCAGTGCCTGCAAGCGCCACTACCCCATTGGGCGGGCACCCCTACGGGCGATTTTGCCCACAAGCGTTACTTCTTGCTAGGGCAGTGCCCGCAGGCACCACCCCTTGCGGGCGGCTCACTCATGGGCGAGCGCTGCCCCAACAAGCGGGTCACTTGTGGGCTACACTGCCCCTACGGGCGTTGTGCCCTACAAGCTAATCACATGAGTGATGGTACGTTTGACTTGACACGTAGTCTTTTTTGCTTATTATATTTTGATATTTTATCACTTTATATTGCATGTTGCTTGAATATATTGTGATGTTCATGGGTCTATGCAATGAGAATCAAATCGTGATGAGATCACAATAATGAAATCGATTCGCCTTTAAATGCATATCCTAAATAATCCCGGTCATAGGTTACTCGAGAGGAACATTGAGATAACCGGACAAACTAGTGTGCTGTATACCCGTTCATATAATGGATGCAGCTAGTCTCATAACTGCTCATGTGGGGACAATAGGGATACAATACAGGTGCTCATTAGGGAATGAGTCCACTGATTGATCCACTTTCGGAATGTTAGATGGTTGATGATGCCTTATTGTCATATAGCGATTTCGTAGTCCCGGTGGTGTATTTGGTCCTTAGACTTGAGACACTAAGGATATCCTGTATGAGTACTCAATTCTTTGATATCAGACTTATAGGTCTGGAGGTTTCAGATCTAACATAGCCGGTCATCGAGAGTGGTAGCCAACCTTACGAGAACTATTGAGTGTCGATAGAGGATCATCCACTCTTAGTGTCACGAGAGAAATATCTCATGTGTTTTTACTCAGATAAATCCTTAGCCAAGGTCATTCAGATTGAGAGAGAAAGAGTTCTCCGGGAGAATCCGATTAGAGCAAAACTCAAGCAGAAACCATATGGGTCTGACAGCACCATGTCCGGTATACGATCTCTTGGATATTAGATGGATGAGGAACTATAGGTACATGGTAATTGAGGACAGACAAGTCGAATAGATTGAATTCCCCTATATCATTTGGGGACTGCGGTGTAGTGGCCTAGTACGTCCACAGTAGATAAGTCGAGTGAATTATTATGGAGATAATAATTCACCGAGCTAGAAAGAGTTCTGATAGGTATGACTCATGGCTAGCTCGATATTGGGCCTAGAGGGTCATACACATATAATAAGCATTACGATGAGTAAGAGGTTCGGATATGAGATATCCGTCGAAGCCCCTATCTTATTGGTTATCTAATAAGCCCCCTAAATTATTGGATCCTATGGATAAGATCCAATAAGAGCTAATGAGAGATTAATAGATAGAGATCCACTAATATAAGAGGTTTGAGCAATTGGATGAAAATCCAATACCCAATAGGGTATGATCCATTAAGGTTAAGTTGACAAGGGGCCTCTATAAATAGGAGGGATTCGATGGTTCATAGGCTAGAGCTTGTTAGTTGCCTCTCCTATTCTCCTCCCTTTCTCCTCCTTAGGGCAGGCCTATAGTTTTGAGGAGCATCGTCGCAGCCCTACTGTATAAATCATCGTTAGAGAGGAGGACGCTTGACCTCCTTCACCATCTCCTAAAGATCTGTAGGGATTCAGGGATATACGATCTCCCTAGGTAACACAATCTTTCATATACACAGTTTTAAGTTTCACGATTTTTACATACCAATCTTCGCACGATCACGAACACTTCTTTGGGAAATTAGAGATTTTATTTTTAATATTCTGACGCTTAACCTCCTTCACTCTCTCCTAGAGATCTGTAAGGATTCAGGGATATACGATGTCCCTAAGTAATACAATATTTCATATATGTAGTTTTAAGTTTCACGATTTTTGCACACCAATCTTCGCACGATGACGAACACATATTTGGGAAATTAGAGATTTTGTTTTTAATATTCTTCCACTGTGCATGTGATGTCGCCCCCAAGATTTTCTAACAACACCGAGAGCGAATGATACTCTATCGATACTCAATAGCCTTCGTAAGATTGACTACCACTCCCAATGACTGACTATGCTAGATCTGAAACCTCCAAACCTATAAGTCTGGTATCAAATAGTGGAGTACTCATATAAGATATCCTTGGTGTTGGTGAACCTTATGTCATTGCCGAAGAGTTTGTATGGCTTGGTCCGATTGGTGATGTCTAGGATTGTCCCGAGGATGAGGTTTTCGCCTGATCGAGTCGAGCTCGGGATCGGTTGGGATGTGTCTCTTTAGTGAGCTCATCTGCCTTTGTCATAATCGGATTCCTACACACTGGCCTAAGTCGGGATGGGGAGGGAAATCCTGACTTAGGCCCCTCCAAAGATTAAGTTAGTGGTATTCTTTTTGTCAAAGATCTTCCCCTTACCAGATGTTGGCAAGGGGCTTTTATCATAGTGCCTGAGGGTTGGCCGTACGTGACTTTCACGTGGCGGTCGACTCCCTGAGCGGCGAGTTCGTACATTGGAATGTCCGCCACCCGAGATGTGTGGAACGACGCCATACAACATCATTCTGAGCTTCCCAGTGTGATCCTTATTAGGGCGGCACTGGTTTGTATAGCCCCAGACGATGCGGGAGGAGAGTGGTCATCATCCCAAATTCCTGGTGGCACATCCAACGTGGCACCGTGTCTTCCTCCCGAGGTTCCACGCTTGGGCTAGCGTGGTGGGGGGTTATGTCCATGTGGCGGAATCCATAATATACCATATCAGTTCTCCCCTCCAACAAGGCGTGCTCCGGGATCCTCATGAGGAGCTGAGGGCACGGTTGGGTCGTCAAAGTGTTGGTCGAGTGTCTACTAGCCGAGTTGCGCAACTCGGGCAAAGATTGGTCTTGTTGGCTGAGCCACTCAGCTCGAGTACTGAATCGATTAGTTGGACAAGGCATTACTCGAGCGATAACTAGCCGAGTTATACGACTCTGGCAAAGACTAGTCCTGTTGGCCAAACCACTCAACTCGGGCACTGGATGGATTGGTTGGACGAGGTGTTGCTCGTGCGACGAATGGCCAAGTTGTACAACTCGAGCAAAGACTGATCTTGTTGGCCAAGCCACTCAACTTGGGCACTGGATAGACTAGTCGGACGAGGTGTTGCTTATGCGACGACTGACCGAGTTGTATGACTTGGGCAAAGATTGATCTTGTTGGCAGAGCCACTGAACTCGAGCACTGGATAGACTGGTTGGACGAGGCATTGCTCATGTGACGACAGGTCGAGTTGTATGACTCGGGCAAAGACTGATCTTGTTGGTCGGGCCACTTAACTCGGGTACTAGATGGACTGGTTGGACGAGACGTTACTTGTGTGATGACTAACCAAGT